CCAGGTTGGGGAGGGGGAATCACAGTTATGTTTTAACCTCCGTGAACTTCAGCTGACAGCTGAACACCCATGAGGAGATGTCAGAGAGACAGAGCCAGATTTTAGCCCATAAAGAAGGAGACAAGCCTGGAGCAGAGAGAGACGTCTATAGGTCATCAGGCTAGCAAGAGCAGATGAATTTGGATTGGTGTATAAAATTACTTGCATTTTTTTCTTGCCTTTATCAGAATTCTTTTCAGTATGTCAGTTGATATATTTCTGTTAGAGAATGGCTTCACACTCAGCATGTTGCAGCAGATTGATCTTCATCAAGATCGTGACGTGATGTCCTGTATCTGAAGATCAAAACTGTGCTGGCCCCTCCTCTGAGTTTGGGGTATTGTAAATTCATGCTCTTTTCCATGCTTCTGCTCTGTGTTTCTCTATTTTGGAGTATTTCTCTTCTAAGAAACTAGCTGATCATTTTCCAGGATATGTTTTTTAATTTCTCCAGGGGCTCTGAATTATATCTTGTTATACTTGCAATGATGTTTGCAGCACTTCTCATGGTGCAAGTGAAATGAGATTTGTAGAACCTCATGGTGTGTACACCTTGCAGCATAACCCTTGTGAAACAACCATATAACCTGAATAAATATAGAAGGTAAAAATTTCCTTTTCAGCAGTCATGATCATCTAAGTATTTCAGATTATATAATTTGCTCTTTAGCCTGTCTGGCCTTTTCTAGTCTCTATTTTCTTCCCATATATACCTTGAGATACTGTAAGTGTTTAGTTCCTATTACCTTGGTGGTAACAAACCTCATAGATTTTTGTATAAAAGTTGTGAGGACTCAATGACGTGTTTAAAACCACATTGTCAGTATTGTACAGTGACTTAAATGTCTTACAATACATTTACAGGACATGACAGTTATATTATCAAGCATCACAGATTACTGCAAACATAGACACTACACTATATTATAAAAATTATCTTTATACATAAGTGGCTTAGACAAGCTCTGAAAACACATTTAATAAAATGACCAGCCTTTATCATTGAATAAAGGTAATTTTGCTGACTGTTGATAAGTAATAACTATTTAAAAAGCCATTCAAAATAAATTAAGCCATTTGTGGATGTACAGTGAACAATCTAGTAGAGTATTAGTAAAATGCTCTGCATTTGAGAGGGTGTTTTGAATTTGTAATCTATTATGAAATTTCCATAATATTTAAAAAAATATTTGGAAAAAAACCCCTCGAAATATATATATTACTTTGGTCATACTTGAATGTGCTACAGATAAATAGGGTCACTTGGAAATTGTGTATATGTTTGCAAACACTTCAGTAAAATATGAAAATTTAAGGAGTCTATGTATGATATGCTAGGGAAAAAATATTTAATAAAATATTCCCAAGTTTCCCATGAAGTTTTCAGTTGGGAAAACTACTGTATTTTACTCCACTAGAATAAGATAGTGCTATTTTATGGAATAAAATAAACTGAAATTTTATAGAATAAAATACTCCCTGAAATAAAATATTGGAAGTAGAAGAGTTATTTTTCTAATACACTGGAAGAAAGGTTAAAAGGTCAATAAACTGACTGTCTTCTCCCCAGACAAACCGAGGAGTGAGAAACACAAGGGCAGAGAAATGTAAAAGTGAGAGAGAAATTTTTCATCTTAACTACAAAAAGTTTCCATTTTGATTAAGCCCATTTTCCAGGTCAGACTATTTTACTGGAGGAATATTAACTGCAGTTACAAATAATGGATAGCCATCTTTCCTGAATATTAGGTTAACCCTCAGCTGTTTATTAATAGATGGAATTGAAAAATGATAAATCATTCATCTTTCTTGATATAATTTTATCTATTAAAGGTATTTATTAGTGTATCCAGGAAGAAATCAGAGGTGGATTGGGTTTGGAGTAAATTGTTTTGTGTAGACCGATGAAAAAGGATGTTTCAGTGGGAGCAGGAGTGGTGGTCTGTGTGATGACAGTGTCATCTGCAGCCACACAAGAGGAGCACAGAGGCACAAGGGCAAGTGGGAAACACAAAAAACACCCTGTCCCAGTCACTCCTAGATCTGTCCTAGGGGAGCCTTCAAACTCATGGCAAAGATGAGTATGTGGACAGGACTCACTCGGATGCAGGGAAGAGCCTTTTGTGATTACACAAAAGTTATTATGTGTTCTTTACAGGAGTCACCAAAGGTGAGGAGAGGTTGAAATAGAGGAATATGGGAATAGCCTAGCCATCCAGAGCAGAAGAGAAAAGGGGCTGTTGGTGTTGTGTGTGCTTGTGTGAGTGCTGAGTGTGTCTGTGATGGTTTGTGTGGCTGGCCATGTGTGTGTGTGTTTCATATATGGGTATTTGCCTGTGCCCCTATTGGGAATATATGCTCAGCTTGGCTGCTGGATGGACCTGGGTGCATGTAGTTGTGACAGCCTTGCCTCGATTGGTCTGCTGGGTTTGGTATTTCCTGCACACTGAGAATGCTGAAGAAATCACCATATGCATGTCATACAATGCTCTCAGTCAAACTTGCAAGGTTCACTTACTATGGAACATACTGTAACACTTTCTGTGTAAGTGTGCACTGACAGTGAAAAAGTCCTGGTGTGTTAACTTAGCTAAAGAAGCTGTCAGAGTTCTTACCATAAGCATTTTAATATTGCTCAATATATTTTACTGATATATGTATATATAGTATTGATATTGTGTATATTGTGCATATTAATATTTTTTTACATATTGTACTGTAGTTCTTTCCCTGTCTCCAGATTGTGAGAAAGTTAATATACCATCACCTAACTATATAGTTAACCTCTTTCCATTCCTTTTTGTGTGGTCTGGAAGTTGAGCAAAGCAACGAGTAATTGGAGATGGCAACTGGTAAATGAGAGCTTCACTGGTTTAGAGATCCAAGGGTGAGTGCTTCCTCTGTGGAAGGAATGCTGCTCTTTTGCCCTCCTGACACACAAATCAGGTGCATATTTGCAAGCAGAGCAGACTGGGACAGAATATCCTTCTTTAAATTTATTTATGCTCTTCTACAGATGCACACCTTTGCAGAGCACTGGGGTAGACCGAGCAACCACCATGCCTTGGTTACATTCAGAGTTTCCCAGTGCAAATCACAGTAGGATTGTATAGGGCAGGTGGAATCCAGGTTTTGCTATCAGTTCTTCATAATTTTGGGTCTCACACTGCTAAAGTGCCCCAGGAGCACTCAGAAACTTTATCTCTGGATGTATGATATTTTTGGCCAACACAGACAAATCTGAGGAAAAAGGCAAGATGAACCGGAGTCTAGAGCATAACTGTTTGCCTACCTACTCCTAACCTTGCCTACTAGCAGCTCAGCTAATCTGTCTCTGCCTGTATTTTACAATCCAACTTACGTGGACCAAGTTCTCCAGGATCCTCACCTCCTGCAGTGTATGTCATCAGGAGTTGCAGAGAAGTGACTTTGTGCTGCCCTGTATAGGTAAATGTAAATTTCACATGCAGAAAGGGAGGATAATACCTTAGAACTGACCTTGGGAATTACTTAATTTTTAGTTTTGTTTTGCTCTTGCTTTATTCTATGCAGGTTCTGGGAGACAAAGGCAGCTCTCTGTTTTTAATTACTGTAAGTAGCTTGTGAGTAGCTGGAACAGCTTTTTATGCAACCTGATTTGAATATATTCCAGGCTGAAGATAGACACCTATTTTAAAGGCACAGCATGCTCATCGTGGCCTCCTGCCAATCAAACAGTTGTCACTTGCTAGACAGTCCTAAACAACTTCTGCTCCTTCCTCAATTTGCTGTCTGTCTGACTGATGGAAACGGCAGGGCTTCTCCCTTTCCCCCTCCCCTTTCTTTTCCCCTGAACCAGTGTCACCACATGGCAGTAGAATTCAACCACTGCTGCTGAGAACAAGGCAGTGTTTGTGCTGCTGGCCCCAGGGCTTGGATAAGGACCCTCGAAACAGAACAGGGTAGATTATCAGTGTAATTCTCCAAGAATCCTCTGCTTTCCACAGCTCCTTGGGGTGGATATGGAGGTGAATAGGGTTTAGTTAGTTTTATTTTGCTTTTTGAACTTCTCAAGCTCACTCAAGACAGAAAAAAATGAAATCCAGATCTGTTTTTTCTGAACTCTGCCCAGGCAACTTATGTATAGATTGTGTGAGTATTGTGGTCTGGTCCTGTAACAATAACACTCAGAGACCTAGTCTGAAGCAAAGCTAACATGATAAGTGCATGGAAATATTTATTTTTCTGTTTTATCTCCACAACACAGTTATGGGTAAACTTTGCTACTATGTCAGATCAGCAGCAAAGCAACCAATGAACTTCAGCAGCCTATCAGAGGACTCAACTGAACTTCAGTATCTTTTACTCCATCTCTTCCCTTACCTCTTGTTGGACTCCTTGGTTGCTTGCTGGGCTATAGGCCCCGAGGATTTTGAAGAACATCAGAGAACCAGAGAATGAGAGAATCAAAGAATCAAAGAGTGGTTTGGGTTGGAAGAGGACCTTGAGGATCATCGAGTTCTAACCCTCCTACCACGGGCATGGACACCTTCTGCTAGACCAAGTTGCTCCAAGCGCTGTCCAACCTAACCTTGAACACATTCTCTCTGGACTAATGAAAATATTCCAATTTCTGGCTCCTGATTTTGAGACCTTGATTCTTTGGAGTCCTTTATGGTTTTATATACATTTTTAAGACTTCTCTTTAGCCAGTGACTTTGTCTTAATTAATTCAAAATTTGGCTGCTGGCCATCTGGGGCAAAAGCACATATAGGTATCAATCCCGCAATTCACGGTTCTATATTATTTGTGATTTCTAGAATTTTTCCATTTAAGTTTTCAGGAAAGTTTTGCATTGCTAGCTTTACTAAACTTTTGACCCTGTGATGAATAAAAAAAAAAAATCTTGATTCTGAGGATTATGATTCTTTATTGTATCCTTAATAATGTAAAACGTAAAATTCTTTTTTCCATTGGAAAGGGAAGTTTTCCCTAACTGGCCATCATTTCAGGGACTTTGAATGTAAGATATTATTTCCAGTCTATTTGTTCTTTCTTTGCTTGGCTTAGATGAGATGCATCACTGTTAATAATTAATTAATGAGGAGAAAAAGAAAGGAAAACTAAAGTTTCCCTCTGTGTCTCTTCTCTTTAAAACATTTTGTTTCTGACTGAGACCTTTGGCAGAGTTCAAACTGCTGAAGGAGACTGTTCTTGGTATGAAACACTTTTCTCCCACATTCCTTTTCTTGTTTACTATTTCTGGTTTTAGCTATTGCCTATGGCTTTTCCTAGAACTTTATTTGAAGAATATTATAGTTTTTATTTAAATAACTCTTACCAATGATGACTCACTGCCTGTCAAAAATGTCTTCTCTGTGTCTATGGTGTCCCATGCATGGTATCCAGATTCTTCACACTCTGGTCTCTGGACAGTTATAGAATTAAAAAATCGGAAAATGCTCTTTTATATTGTTCAGCACATTTTCTTACCAACATGGATATAGGATACTCTGTAGTTTTCCTATATTTCCTGTATAATATCAATTATATTCTTTAATATTTCTATTTGTTTAGTTTGTTTTCTGCTTCCTACTCTAAGTCCCAAACACTAAGGCAGTGTACTTTTAACCTTTTCAATTTTTTTACTGCTATTAGTAAAATAGATGTCACCTATAAAAATGTATTCTGTGTCTCTGACTTCCTCCCTTGTTAGGCCGCCCCATGACTATAAGTCTCCTTAATCGGTTCTATGACAGCCTGTGTCTAACTAGAGAAATTCTCTCCATGCTTGATGTTTATGCAGTTCAAATATGTTTAAACATCTATTTTTCTTTCCATCTTTGTCAAATGTTTGCCCTCAGCTTTTTCAATTTTTCCTTGCAAGACAAGTTTTCCAGCCTCTATGCCTTTGTGTTTGTTTTTGGCTTTTTCTCAGAAGTCACAATCTGTCAATGCAAAAGTTAGTTGGGAATTTTCCCAGTGAAAAGCGTCTTTGTTTTGCTTTTTATTTGAAAAGTAATTTTTGCAAAATCAGAGGCAATTGTCTTGTAGAAGGTATTTGCTTCCCCTGCCTCCAGACATGTTTTAGGTTGGTATGATCTGAATAGACACATTTAGTTTTTGAAACCAAATGGATACTTCTTGTTTCTGATTAACTGGGCAAAATATCTAAACTCTCTTAAATATTTTTTGTGGAAGAGTTCAGGCACCCAATCACACAGCAACCCCTCATCTGGTTGAAACACCATGTTAAAAATCCCATTTAAAAAACCAAACAAACCAAACCCTAACATTATGTATAGTGGCCAGTAAGGAAGAAAGGGACATTTATCAAACTAAGATGAATATTGGTAGTATTGGCTGCCTTTCCCAATCACAGCATTATGGAGTAGGAAGCTTTAGGTAATTCCTAACTCCAAACTCAGCAGTGTCTGGAATGACTGGTCATTGCTGCAGGTCAGCAGCAGGTTCATTCATTCATCATTATTATTACTGATTTCCCAGAAAGAGTTTAATTAAGCTGGCTGCTACCATCACATGAATTTTAAGGCAAAGTTCTAATGTGAGCTATTTATTCCATGTACAATTGAACATACTGCCAGTACTGCATATAATAATACAAAAATGTTGTTATGATTACTAAGAGTGTGTGCTAAAAGACTGAAGACATTTGTCACTTGGCTTCCATAAGGTTTAAAATATGTTGGCCAGGGTTTAGCACTAAAAAAAAAGCCTAAAAAAGGGGGGAAAAAAAAGAGAAGGAATAATTGTTACTAAAATGTCTTACCACTCCTAAACATATTGTATTGTGTGAGGGCAACTGGGTGATTGTTCTAATTGACTCTATCACCCTTCTCCAGGCACTGCTTTCTGTATTTCCCTCTTTCGCCTGTATTGGGCTCACTTATATGTATTTACTACTACATAGGGTATGCTGAGACAAATCAAAGAAGAAGAAAGCTGAGGGATGGAAATTCAAAGCCTTAGGATTAGTAATAACAAATTCTCAATTATACTGTGATGTGTTTCTTCAGAAATCTCTTTTCACACACAAGGCTCTTTGAGTGAGCTCATTATCTCATGGTATGTAGAAATATATTTTGCCATCGCACAGCCAACAGCTAATATATTTATTATTCATCTGATACTAGACCAGGCTTTAAGCTATGCAATGCAATTCCATTGTTTATTTGTTTTAATGAATATCCATGAGCTGGAGCCTGAATGCAGACCTGTTGTTTTACTCATGCTTGGCAGAAAAGACTTCAAAAGAAAATGTCTTATATTTTTTTCAAGGGGCTAAACTCCTAAATGGAAGTTATTTAAATGACAGTATCATTTATCCTTTTCCAGATAGTCATGTACAAAGATACTGTAACACTTTTGCAAGATGGACCTCTTTTAACATTATTTTATATCAAGGTGTTAGCACACAACCATGCACCATGAAAATCTTAGTTCATGGTTTCTTCAGTTCACTACAGAAAATAAACGTGTCTGATCATGGTTAGCCTTGTTCATAAATTACCAAATTTGAAACTAATTAATATCTCCAAAAACAATGCCTCTGCGAAGGACTGAAAAAAACCCCATTTGAACAGGATGTCCATGTATGATGTTGGAGGTACAAGAGCCAATTCAATCCTTAAAAGCCAAAGTAGAGAATACCAAAAAGTGAAAATGAAGTTATTTTTCCTCTAGCTCATTCTAGTGAGACCTAGAATGGGGCATTTTATATACTGTTCCACAGTCATCCAGTGAAAAACAAAAATGCAGGAAAATAGATAACCTAATTTGCCATGGCATACCTAAGTAAATTCAATCTGTTGCCTTTGTACAAGAAAATAAGAAGAAACTAAAATAATTTATTTTATCATATGCCAAAACACGAAAATGAGAAGAGAATTCTTTAAAAATAGAGGCCTAATCATTAAATTACAGTATAGCATGGTGCAGAGCTAAAGCAAAGGTGTGACATCATTGGAAAAAAAAAAAAAAAGGCAGGGGACTGTGGTAGTTAACAAAATTGACCATTTGCAGAAGTGACTTAGTAATGCTGACTATTTCAGTCTTTCACCCAATCTGCTCTCTAGCCAAAGGCATAAGAATAGATCAGGCCACCCAAATAACCCCTTTCTACCACGATGATCCTTGAATCTGCCTTTTGTTGTAGGTTGGGCCAGGCACCAGGTCCCCATAAGGCTGTACCTCCCTGTGTGGGATCAACCAGAACTCAACAGGCTCCCTCCCTGCTGAAGGTACTCTCCCTTGGTCAGCAGTTTGGCATGGGAAAATTTTGGCTCCTTTCCACCTGAAGGTCTTACTGAAAAATGTATGACCACTTTCTTTTTCCATTTCTTGTGCAGTTAGACTGACTTGGGCTCACAGTTGGAACTGAGTAAATTGTTTCTGTGTGAGCAGCTGAACTATCCCGAGTTTGGCCTATATTCAGCTACAAAGAGCTTAAAGTAAGATACCGAGAGACATCAGCGGGAGAATGGAAAAAATCATGCTATATAAGTCAGAACATATTCACCCTCTGTGAGCTTAAGGCTAATGATAATAGGCTTGCCCATGGGTAAAAACAATAGGCTTTATTTACAGTGTGTTAAGTTTCTGTTACTGTAAGACTAAAGTTTATAAAACCGTGTAAGTGTGGTAAAGCGACATGAGCCAGGCCAAACCTTGATAGGCATGTGAATTCTGCCAAAATACTTCAGTACGACAACTAGAAAATGCAGAAGATGAGATTGAACTGAGAGAGAAATAAACAGTGGAGAAAGTACTGGAGCTGCACTGGCCGTGTGCTCTGTAAAACAAAAGCAGCTTGTGTAGGATCTCCCATACTAATGTTCCTGTTGGGTCAAATTCAACTAATTTTGTTGTTGTAAAAAAATACTGTCAATGTCTTCTATTAAGACAAGAGAGGTAAGAAAAAAATAATAGCAACTAATAAGGTATGCTGAGGCCGACAAGGTATTCTTAGGACAATGATCTCCCTGGCTACATTTTTACTAATAAATAAAATGGATTGACGATTGTTCCCTGGCAGTCAGGCTAGAGCATGAACATGACTTGTGTCTAGAAAACTGAAAGTTTGTTCCTAAAATAGACTGGGAATTCACACTGCCTCTTGGCCTCAGCCTTGGACTTCGGCTAACCCACAAGCCGTTACCAAGCACAGATCTTGTATAGGATTTCAAGAGATGAGTGGACCTCTGAGCCTTGCTGTGCGCTCCTCAGCTCTTGAGTACTTGTTTTCAGTGACATTCCATGGTAAAAAGGGTAAAAATGCATAAGAAAATTCTTTATCTGGGACCAGAAACCAAAACCCACTCTCAAACCAGAGGCTCTAATGAAAGCTAGACCACAGAATCAGGCTTGGTGTTTCTTAGGCTGTGTCTCTCACTTGCCCCACAGACATGAGGTATTGCAAGAAATGAAAGCAGTTTGATCCCAGATCAGTCTCAACTGCCTATTGGAATATGGGAACAACACACCAATTCCCCCCAGGCTGACTTCCAGAATTATTTCCATCTCCCTGTGTGAATGCTGTATTTAAGAAATTATTTCACAAAGGTGAGGAGTAACGAAAGTATTATATCCCATCCAATCATGGTGGGATTTTGGATTGAAATGTCTAAGGGATTTAATAAGAAATTTAATAAGAAATCTAAATGTATCAGGTCAGTCTGGGGTCTGAAGTGGAATCCTGGAGTTTTCGCTCGGGTGCCTAGGGAGCTCAGTAGTCAAAGTGGAGAAATCAATTACTTTCAGGTACTTTCAAAGCTGAGAAGATGTCCAGGAATAGCTTCTCCAAACTCCTCTTCAAAGACGAGGCTGCTAGTTTCTATCTCAGGTCAAACTGAGGCAGAATTCAATTAAGAACAATCAATCTCCAATTTTTTTTTTTTTTAAATTTCTGTCTATTTTTATATTCTGCCCTTCAAAACAAATTGTTCATAACGCATGGAACACAATGAAAGTATTTTTCCAGTAACTAGAAGAAAATGAACAGACCTGAATGTGGCCAGCAGATATCCTGGAGGCATTGCAAAGGCTCATCATGGCTACGAGAACAGCAAATGTCCAGTGCAGGACATCTTGGAGAGACTGCCACACCTGTTGTCACCATTTTATACTGGATGACAGACCGAAGCCCCCTCCTAGGCACTGATTTGGACCAGGGGATTCACCACTGGCCTGGGACTCATGACATATATGCAGGTCTTGGCGGCGCTCTGACAATCAGACTGCAGTGCCTTGTACCCCTCACCCCACTCCTGCCTTGCTCCCCAGCCTGCTGGTACCACAACCAGCTCCAGTGCCACCCAACCAGGGCAGAGAAGAAAGTCTTGGCTACTCTCTCTGAGTGCTGCTTTGCATATGGCCAACTTTGATAACCAGCTTCCTTAAAATGGATATATTCAAAAGGCTTCTGCAGTTGTTCAAAAGAGGCAAGATATTTTGTGTGAAAGAAGAGCAGATCGTTTAACATAGATTTTTATCCACAGCTTAAATGGAAGTTTCAGAAAAATGAAAAAGACACCTTTAAATGACTGTTAGTTATTTCACAGAATCACAGAATATGCTGAGCTGGGAGAGACTCACAACAGTCATCGAGTCCAACCTTTAGCCCTGCACAGGACCATCCCCCAGAATCACGCCATGTCCCTCAGAGTATCATCCAAACACTTCTTGAACTCTGACAGGCGTGGTGCTGTGACCACTGCCCTTGGGAGCCTGTTCCAGTGGCCAACCACCACCTGGATGAAAAATCTTTTCCTAATATTCAATCTAAACTTCCCCTGACACAACTTCAGGCCATTCTCTCAGGTCCAGTCACTAGTCACCACAGAGAAAAGTTTCTACTGACCTCTGTATATTTTAGTCCTGTTTTGAAAAAAAAAAATTATTTTAAATGATTTTTTTTTTCAAGTGGCTTTTTACTTTCACAGATGTTTTCATTTGTAAGATGGATTATTATTTTTTAATTTTCAATAAAGTGCCAGGCTCTAGTGAAGAGAAAATGCAAATCTAAAATCACTTATCTCCTCTTTCTTGCAAACACAAAAATCTTTTGTTCCTAAACAGGAATTAAAGGGGAGAGAGAAGAAATTTCAACCCTCTGACTTGAAAGAAAATGTAGCGATATTTATCAAGCTCTCCTTCTCTTTCCTTAGTGTTTACAGGGCTCAATTATATTTTCTTTTTGGCATTAAGGTTGTTAATTATGCAGTTGTCTGTTTATTTTGAATAACTGAAAGACTGTGCCAGAAAAAGGATGAGAGTACAAGAGAGAGGGGGAGAAAGAAAAGATAAAAACTCATTACCTCCTGTAAACTGCTAATCATTGTAAATGGCCACAGAGGCCAGAGGAGACTGTAGAAATTACTATCAAGCATGAAGGAATAAAAATACCCCAGACTATTTTAGTGGGGGGAAGGAAGGAAAAAAGTAAAGAAATCTCCTTGATTCTAAAATAACTAAACTGGAAAGAGTAATAGAAAGGAAGCACAGTAAGGGGTCCTGGCAAGTTCTGTAAGCAAGAAAATAAACAAGGGGAGGTAGAAAATGGAGAAAGAGATTTTATCATTATGTACAGAATATATTGGCAGAACCCCTCACTATATCAGAGAGTGCTCTTGGCGTTTTATTAGCAGGGCTCCATGAAACCTTGTTGTTATTCTGTTTTTCATGTCATTTCCTTGTCCATTCCTACACTCCTACCTTCTCTGGCCGTGAGCTGCAATGAGGACAGCAGCTCTGCTTCCCAAACCCAGCAGCCCCAAGACCCTCAGCTAAGGCAAACGGGCAGACAGCACTACCCTTCTGCCTTGAAGGCGACAGCGGTGACTTTCGGCTCTGGTGTACTCTGACCTCCAGCTCCAACTCTTTGCCCACGGCTGTGCTCTTGAGGATGGATCAATATCAAGGATTACAAAAGAGGCTTGGCTGGATGCAGATAGAAAGCTCCAGGCACTGAAAGCAATATCAAAGTAGCAGCCTTTGCAGGCCTGGCTTCATGAATTCTTCACAGTCCTGGCCCCAGTGGTCCCTGAGCCATTTAAAGGGTTTATTGCTTGCTCGGCAGCCCAGGCTAAAGCTGTGTTGCTACCAAATGAATTCTGTGCTAAATATTAGCACTGTAGCTAAGAAAGCTCCCTCTCTCTGGTTTTACCTCTATCAATATTAAAGAAGATAAAAATAAGTCACCGAGGGGGAATATTGCTCCTAGAGTACAGCAGAGGCCTACTGAATCAGAAGAGCATAATTTAAGAACTTATATTTCAGAAGACAAAAAAAAAAAAAAAAAGGAAATATCTGTGCAAACAAAAGCAAAATGGGCTTAATTTTGCTAAAAAAGAGTTTAGAAAAAGAGGCTTAGATTGCAGAAAAACTGTGTCCTGCAGCCTGGGCTCTTTTCCTTGGTATCGTTTATATCTTTTTATGTTTAGAATGAACTTTCGTTCAGGACTTTCTTTTGACTGGATTCTGTTTTAGAAACACTAAACTGATATGAAACCATGCAAACAATACCCAATGTCCTCAGAACCAGAAAAGAAACATTTTCAATATCTAAAAAAAAACCCTGAAAATCTACATTAATATTTATGTTGACAATCATTTAAATTTCCAAAAGGGGTTCCTACAGTTCCATATCCAAACCCTTGCATGTACAGATATTGTTTATGTGTACAAAAAATTAGAAATAGGCAGTTGTCTGGGCACAGTGAAAAGATACATTAATATTTAGGTTTTATGAAAATGTATTTGAAGAAGGAATTTGTTTCTTCAAAAAGAGCGTTACATATTTTGAAATGAAGTTTCATCCCAACTAGTGTCTAACTTTGACTTAGCTTAAGGCATCATAGGGTTGAGGCTGAGCTCAGCCTCTGTTTAGGGTCTTTGTTATCCTCCTAATGGTGCCAAACCATGTTGACTGTGGATAATTTTTTGTCTGAAGTCCTGGTTGTGCCCTACTGTGGCCAATTTGAAAGTCTCTTTAATTCCTTCCTCCTGCCATCCTGAAAGCACTTGGATTGCTGTGACCCTCGTGGTTGGTGGAGTTGGCGCTGAGAGCCTGGGGTGGATGGGTGAGTAGTCTCTTGAGGGTGAGTAGGGTGTGTCAGTAGTTCTTCAGGGTGTTACTCTGAATGGGTGTGGGGGGGATGGGTCCTACATGAGACTAATTTCTTCTGTGAAGAGGTTTTCTAAAGAATTATTGATTCTGTAGGACAGAGGAATGGAGGAAATACAATTATCTTCTCTATTTAGCATGGAAAACTAGGATTTCTAAGTTGCAAGTTAGAAGAAGAGCTTTGTCCTACAGTTCTTTCCCTTTTCCTATGTTCTGTGCAGTGACTAGTACTTTCGACCACTGAACATCACACTGGTCGCCAACCATGTTCAGCAGCTCAGCATGGTGAAGTTTCTTCAGAGAAAACACGAAAGATGGACACTTGCAGAGGGTATTTGTGAGTATCGTGCTTTCTGTATATGTGGCAAGCTAAAGTGAAGTAAGCACACATTATGCATATGTTTTATGTTACTGCTGCAAAAAATAAAAGGCTGCTGTGAGCACGTATGTGTTACTGGGTACAGGATCCATGTCCAGCACCAGAATTTTCCCAATTTTCTTGTGAAATGTGGACAAGAAATATATTGTGTGAACACTTCTTTCTGTATTATCTGGTTTAGGATAATGCTAGTTATAATTGTGATATCTCTTGGGAAAAGGCTAAGAAAAATTAAATGGAGGCTTTATTAAAGTAAGGCATTATTAGAGTAAGGTAAGAGCAAAATTTAGATTTGCTTGAATTCTCTAGCTTTTGCTTATGGGAAAGCACATGTAGCCTAGAAATCTGTGCATGTGTGTGATTTGGTGTTACTTTTTCTGCCAGAGGCCAGTTGTTCATTATTCTTTCAAGAGCCAGCTGATGTGTTTTTATAATGAAAAGGAATCTTAGAAAGGAGACAGTTCTAAAGAAACCCCTACTGGTCAGGCCAGGCTCTGCACTCCCCCTCCATGGACTGTTGAATCTGCATTGCCATTCTAGAACTTGGGGTAAGTGCCTCCATGTCAACTCACACTTATGTTGATCTAATGAAAATCATAAGAGGTTCATTCCTCAACTGATGTTCAGTTTTAGGCCAATTTTATCAAATGTTGGACCTGACATTTTCCTTTGGCTGATTTTGCTTTTTCTTAACCAACACCTACAGAGTGTTCTGCTTATCAAAGCAACAGCACATCAGAAAGCTCCCTGGACATGTACGTACCCAGGTCAGGAATGCTAACAGCATACTTACCTAATCCTGAAGTGCATTTTCTAGGACACATTTCTTTCCTCTCCCTTCCATTTTACTTCTACTTTCTCACCCTGCTGTCCCTATTATGTTTTGTGGTTCATTTCAAAAAAGCATCTGAAATGGAGCATTTTTTGCCAGTCCAAAGAAACAATAAGGAAATGGAAGTACAACTCCATCGTAATTTTCTTGTTGTTCAACCTTTGATTGTGACTCCATGGCCTGTCATTGTCTTTCCTGGGAAAGGGTGAAAAGATAATATATATCAGAACATGAGTATATACCATCAACCCATTGCAAAGGTACAATTGACTGCTTCATTCTGACTTCTGCAATCTCTCTCTTTTTTTTTTTTTCAATTTGATTGAGGTAACTTAGCTAGTTTTTTGCTTATTACTGATCTCTCCTGCTTCTGCTCTCATGACCTGTGACCTGTGCACAGGTTGTTATGTGCTGAGCAAAGCACCCCAACCGAAGGAGAAGAACAGTGCTTCATGGCAGCAGTGAGTGAGCAAATAGCTCTTGGCAAAATCCTCTGCTCTCCCTAGCAGGAAAATGTCAGGTAGCTACAGTCCCAATGGCAGTGATGAATGGGCTGTTTTCTAATATGCTGGAAATGAAGTACCATGGCTTTTTTTCTGGAGGGGTGAGACACAGGTCCCATGCAGCTGATCATCTCAGAATCACCAAGCATATTTAACCAGCAGTGTATTAAGACGTAGATGGTAAAATATACACCAAGTAGTTCAGATTTACTGTTTTGTTTTAATGAGCACACAGCTCATTACAGATCACTTCAGATACAACTGATGCTTTCCATGAACCAGTTATTTGAAAGTAATCTTTATTTTACATAACTCAAGTTTCAAAATATTTTTCTAAAATTTGATTTCCCAAGAGAAGTCTTGCTGAAAAGATGTGCAGCCCTGCCAGAGACCTGCATTATGTAAATCTTAAACTGACAATTCAGCCCCAACATTTCAAATCTAATACCTAATATCCTTAAAAAAAAAGAAGAAAAAAAAAAGTGTAAGTGGCCTTCAGAAATTTCCATTCTGGTATAGTGCAGAGAACTACAAAGAAGCAGTTCAACCTTGTTTTAACCCTTTAAGAAAGTAGCTCTTTTTTTTCCAGACTGTAAGCTTTCCACTAATAGTAATAATCTGGGCTATGTTTGCTTTAGAACATGCAGGAGTTGAACGCAAATATTATGATAGCAGAAGTGCAATGGTGTGTTCCTTGGCACAGATAGCCAGATATTTATTTGAAGAACTTAAGGTAGTGTCAGATGCCTGGTGTGCATTCTAGGAGTCTGTGCCCACCACACGTATCTAAGGTGGTTGTAACTCGCAGCACTGTCAAGTTGCTCACTGTGGTGCCCTGAGACCCAGCCTACAGTCCTTGAGCCAGTGAAGCACTGGCTTTAGAGCGCAGTAGAAGTCCTGTGCTCCCTGTGCCAATTCCTTATGACACCTCCTCCGTGCAGGACGCTGTAACTGAGGTTGTAACACCAGCTGGAAAACTGTCTTTTTCTTTCTTCCTCTCTCCAGAGCGTCCTGTGCATGTACTCTGGTCAGATCCTTACTACGCCCTCATTACATTTCTCTTTAATTTCATATTCAGCCACCCTTGTGCACAGTGTTGTTTCTGACTAGGCTCTCTGCACTGTGAAAACCACTGCATTTTAGTCATCTAGAGAAACTGAGCAATGTCTGAGCTCTCTCACTCTAACTGGCAAGTAGAGAAAGGGAAATTGTGGTCAGCCATCAAACTCCTTAGTATCAAAGAACAGTTTAGTGCAGCACCACGAGTTTGCCAGGCAATTTGCCCATGCCTTGGTGGGAAAGGAAAAGGCAAAATATGAACTTGTTCAATTTCCAAGACTCTTTGGGAACCCACTGAATGAGTTGTAAGAGGTCCAGTAAAATCTCAATCACTATTTCATCTAATTATTCTGATAAACAATGGAAGATGCAGGGTCCAATGGCAACAAAAGATGGATGGATGTATGGATGGATGAGTCCCAAAAAGATGAAGTGAAACAGGGATAAAATAATGTAGTCATAAAACTACATAATAATATTACCATCCTATATATAGAATTTTTTCAATAGCTAGCCAAAGACAAAATGTGTTATTGATAGACTCCATAGCTTAAAAATTAGGGAAACTCTACAGAAAGGGTTTTGTTGTGGGAGAAGGGAAGGTTAGGCTTCTTTGTCTAATTGTCATTTAGGTAACCGGCATTTTGACTGCTTATCAGAAAACAACTTATGAAAACAGCTGAACCAAAAATTAGAGAGTTCAAATACTTCAGTCAAACTCTACTAAGCCTTTATTCTGACAGCTTCACTAGAGAACTGAACGTCTGTCATTTCTATAGGATCTGTTGGTAATGTTTGTAGTTATCCTGATCCATTTTAAAAACAAATATGTATCAGGCCACTTTCCAATAGCACCTTCTTTTGAAGATGGTTTCTTCCACATGGTTTTCAAACGCTGACTTCAAGTCAGCCTGGAGATTTTGCTGTGTGTCCAGGTGATTTTTAAGAGAAGGTATTTGTTTCCAAGGGAGTAGCATAGTCCTCAGCAGAGTTACTCCACTAGGTTATAACACACCTTTATGAGGTATGATCATACAATGCAACCCTGAGTGTGATGTGCTGTGCTGCAGTGTGATGTGTATGAGAAGGGTCAAAGATTTCAGGCCCCATGTTCTTCCCTTTTCCTTTATCCTCTTTCATACTATAGGACTCTCTATCCCTGTTCCATTTCACCCCCTTTTACTAGTCTAGCAAGCAGTCAGAGAAGATCAGAGCCAATCTGATTCAAGGACAAATTGAACATATAGAGAAAAGCAGTGTGGGACTGCTAAGAAGGGAAGACAGCAAAGGAAAACTAGCTCTTCTTAGTTGGTGAAAAGCAAATATTGGTAGCTTCTGACTTTCTACACCCTGAAATGCTAAGACAAATCTTCCCAGGAGAACTATGATTCCTGGACTTTGTTGTTGAAATTTGTGAAATTTTGATATATATCTTCTTATTATTCTGGCAAGAGAGTTTACTGTACCTTTAGAAAATTCAGACCTACCATATGAGACATGTTTATGACCTAAATGAAGTCAATTGCTATGTAATAACATTTTATGCTATAAGAATACCAGGAAAAAATATGGTACAAGGCATTGATATTATCTCCATCAGCATAGTAGAAGTGTCAGGGGGGTGGACTTTCTGAAACAAGGAGAACTCAAAGTAAATATTATTCTTTGAAGACTCAGTGCAGCAATAGGGTCTGTGAAGGAAAGTGCACAGTGCATCAAAGACATGGATCAAAGTCCTTCTTTCCTGTAAAAATAATGCCTGTATAACTTTGTGGGAGAGGAGTGACCCAAAGCTGTTGGATTTTCAATTTTTATTTTATATTTTTGTTTTGCTTTTGCCCTTCAGAAAACTCAGTGATTTTCAGAAATGCAAGACTCTACGATATGCTAGTGAAACATAGTATGAGAATTATTCTACTGTGATATTTGTGCATAACCTGGCATGATTTAAAGAAATCATAATTTGTGCTTAACAAACATGTCTTGATCTGTCTTTTGCTATGCAATCTCACCTGAAGAGAACCAAAATTTGTACAAAGTACTTATCAGCATGCCTAAAGGAGTTGCAGAGTTGACTGAGCATGTAAGGACAGTCATTGGTATTCTTTTAGGAAAATGTCATCTTAACTACCAAGTCATGGCTAAGACAGACCTTCTGTGCAATGAGACTTATTTGTTAGTTGCATCATCATCATCATCATGGTTAGGCTTCGTACCACTTATAGATTCAAACATGCTTTGAATTAGTGATAAGCTAAGTATGTACTTGGCATTTCCTCATCTAAGGACATATTGGGAACTTAGGTAATCATGTAACTCACAATATTACAGATTTTCTCATGTCTTTCTTTAGAACTGAGTCATGGAGATACAAATTTTACCATAAATAGATAGCTGTATAGATTGTTCTATTTAGGAACAATTATAAAATAGATCTGGATGTAATAAACAAATACATGGCAGGCAGATGATGCCTCAAGTTTACTACAGAATAAGACTTTATTTTAAATTATCTTCAACGTCAAAAGCCAGCTATTCAGACAGCATTCATGAAAAATAAGTCAGATAATAATTCAGTAGGGTACATCTGAACCCCAGCTGTAATGGAGATACTCTGGAAACTGATGTACAATTTTCAGCCCCTATAAAATGATAATCATCAGGAAAGTTAGGCAAACAAGAGTAATATGAGCCACTTCTTTTCCCTCCATTTGCTAAAAGGCAGTATGAAACTAGGAAGCTAACATCAGTGTAATAGCTACCAGTGAACTGTGGGTCTTTATTAAATATTTTTCTGTCTCATTTCTTTCTATTCAGTTAATAATTTAGACAATATATAGTTGATAATAAAGTTTATCCAGTTCCTACAAAGACAATCTGATAAACTGCATCTCAGCTCGTCAGTTTTGCTCCAACATGTGACCACCTAACATAGTGGTGACATTCCATGCTTTTTTTCTACCCAGGTATAATTTAGAACCAGAATGGTATCATAGACTCATCTCTGAACATATTCAAAGACTGATTTCTCTGAATTCATCCTATATCATCCCACTTAACAATCTACAGACTTACTCAATAGACTTACACATTGGTGATAACTTATTAGAAAGGCTCCATCTGCACTGAGATTTGGAAAATCTAGCATTTCATT